GCAGAGCATCTGCCTCCAATTCTTGCTTCCGTGAAGTGTTGACCTGATAGATGAAGCTTTGGGAAAAAACTGTTCAGCATGAGCCCTGGGCAGGGAACCTGAGACCCTGTTGAGAGCTGATTGGAAAATGGGATTTTCGGGAACCTCAGATTTGTGGCTAAAGTCAACTCCCCAAATCTTCCAATTCAGAAATGCAACCATGGTTCTTCACATCCCAAACATCCTCTCTGGCCCTGATGCCTCAGCCTGACCTCATTTCTCACCCTGACCAGAGGGAGCAGCCTACACCAGGGAAGCATAATCCAGTCAGGAAGCCTGGCCTACAAGGGAGAATGGGGGCAAGAGAAACTACAGCAGCATTTGCAAGAGATGTTGGGGGTTGGCAGAAAACAGAGAAACTCTTCTGGTTCCAGGCATTCCATTTCCCAGTGAAAAAAGAATGGAGGCTTCAGTATACAGCAGCCACTGCTGGGGAAAGATTTAATTTGGTCAAAATCCCATTTCCCATCAAACAGTTTGAAGGCAAGACCCAAAGCCAAGCCGCCCTGGGGCTCTCCACCTTATTCTGGAGAACTGAGCAGAGATCTAATGGCACCCGAGACTGCTGGCCAGGGAGCTTCAAGCACATGGCAAACCACATTCCATTGCACCTTCTGGCTTTACCAGGAGCACAGATGCAAACCCCAGCCCATCATCAACCCACTAGGCAAAGCAGGGTGCAGCCCCAGCTTGGTACAGGCAGCTAATAGCCAAGGAGGCATCTCTGCAGGCACTGGCCCAGCGCAGCATTACCACCCAGCCAGGCCCTGGTCAGAAGAACAGTTAACTACGCGCCTGTGTCCTCTGGCATCCCATGGACATGACATGCTTACGTGGTTTTCTTCAAAAGCAACCCCTCTGCCTCCAAGGGCTTGCAGGCAGCTCCAGAGTAGGGCGTTTTCTATATGCTCCTGCACACACAAGGCTGCACCCTGTGTCATATTGGCTAAGGAGAGGCCTGGGGCAGGAGGCCCCTATGTGGCTGCAGTGGTGACAAAACAGTGGCATTCTCTTCAATGGGAAATAGCTTGTCTTGTCTCTGTCTCCCTTCCTAGTCGGGCACACAGCTCCCAGTCCTCACTCTGCTTGGCTCATGTCCTTTGGATGAGCAAAGGTCCATTAGAAGTTAATGGGAAGACCCCCATTGACCTCTCTGGGAGCTGCATGGGCCCTAAACCCCTTTCTTGCAGCAACCCTACCTCACTCTTCACCAGGAATCCCTCTGTGTTCCCTGTTCACCCTTGGTCTCATCATGTGTCGCTTAGGCCATGGCTATAGTGCAGTTTTTGCACAGAAACTCACGGAGCGGCCACACTACAAGTCAATTTACAGTAAATCGAAAGAAGACGGCTTTTTGTGCAAGTTTTTCCTCTTTCTCTGAGAAATAAACCTTTTTGCGCAAAAGCGTCCATGCAGTGTGGATGCTCTTGTGAAAAAGCGCATTGCTCTTGCGCTGCGCTTGTCATGTAGGCATCTTTTGCGCAAGAAGTTTTTAGGAAGATGTCTTCCGCAAAAAGCTTCTTGTGCAAGAAGCCCGCAGTGTAGATGTAGGCTTAGGGGGCCAGAGTCTGTCGATCTTTATTAAGGGAAACACCTTCCCTGCAATAGGTTATTTTGCAGAACAGCCCTAGGATTTGGCCCTAAGATGTTCAGCCTTCTGAGGCAGTGAACGCCCTTCCTTTCATGCTTTACAAAGCGCCAGGGCCAATCTCACAAAACCAGATTAAGACCAGAAGGGACCAGCGTGGTCATCTAGTTCTGTGGCCTGCAATATGCAGGAGGACAGACCTGACTCACCCAGCCCCTCACCTCTGAAGTTGCTGAAGAATCCACCATTTGCACTACCTTAAACCTGCAAGTGAAGCCATACATGCTGCAGAGGAAGGCAAAAAGCCCCAGGCTCTCTGCCAATCTGTCCCAGGGGAAAATTCATTCCCAACCCCCAATATGGGGACCAGTTAGACCCTGAGCATGTGGGCAAGACCCAGCAGCCAAACACCTGGGAACAATTGTCTGTAGTTACTCAGAGCTCTCCCAGCCCTGGTCATTGCAGATATATGCTGCTAGCAGTCACAAATGGGTCACATGCTGTTGTGGGCAACCACACAAGACCCCCTCCCCCCATTCCCTGGGAAGGCTGTTTGAAAACTTCACCCCTCTGACAGTAAGAAACTTTCATCCAAGGTCCAGCCTGAACTCATTGACTAGTGTTTATCCATTTGTTCTTGTGTCCACATTGACCCTTAAGTATACTCCTCCCCTCCCTGGTTTTTACCCCTCAGGCGTACTTAGAGAAATCATGTCTCCCCTGAGCCTGTCTTTGATTTAAACAAGCCCAGCTCTGCAAGTCTCTTCTCAAAGCAGGTTTTCCATTCCTTAGACCTTCCTAATAGCCCTTCTCTGCACCAGTCCTAGTTTGACTTCTTTTCTTGAACATGGGACCAGACTTGCACACAGTATTCCAGCTGGGGTCTCCCTGGTGCCTGGTACAGAGACTAGCCCTGACCTGGAAAAGCCCACCTGTGCTGCTGGATGAATTCCCCAAGAGAGAACTGTAGGAGGCATTTGGCAGGAAAAAGATGGCTGCAGAAGTAGAGAACATTTATTGGACCCTGCTGTTCTCAGCACAGGAGACACGGTGAAGGAGGAGGGATGCCAAGAAAGAACAGACTCAAGCTGGGTCTCAGTTGCTCCAGAATGAAAGAGCTTGGAAAGCTAGTTATTCTTCATTTGCCCCCTGCCTTTGTTCTTCTTGGTTCCAAGACCAAGCTGCTAGGAGAGAGGCAGTCTGAAGCTCAATGAGGTGAAGGCATAAGGTACAAGCAGGGCTGGCCCAAGATATTCTGGCACCCCGGGCGCATGGCGCATGCACAGGCCCGCCTGTGGGGCACGGGCCTGCTCTCCCAGGGTGTGCGGGCCCACCCCCAGGGTGCACAGCACATGCACGGCCCGGCTACAGCCGCTGGCGGGCAGCCTGGGCCTGCCCCCGGGGAACACGGTGCATGTGCGGCCCAGTCTGGCCTGGCCGTTGCTGCTGGCATGCGTGCCAGGGCGTGTAGGGCCCCGCAGCCATGGGAGGAAGGGCATTGCTGGCCGGTGCCGTGGGGATGCGAGCAGGCCGGCGCTGCAGGAGCCAGGCGCACGGCGCCTGATGGCAGCTGTAAGGGACGCAGCGCCCCTTACAGCTGCCATCAGGGGCTCCCCACTGGTTGGCACCCAGGGCAGCTGCCCAGCTTGCCCATGCCTCCGTCCGGCTCTGGGACTGTCCCCCTTCCACTACCCAGTGATGAGTTTAGTAGATTTGGAGACTCCTCTCGAGAGTCAGAAATGAAATAAAGTTTTAGCCCAAGAAGTTGGGACATGCAGTTAAACTTTATCCCCACCAAGGCTACATCTAGACTGCAAGCTTCTTTCAAAAGAGATCTTCCGGAAAAACTTTTTTTGAAAGAGAGCATCTACACAGCAAAAGCACAATGAAAGAGCAATCTGCTTTTTCGAAAGATAGATCCAACCAATGCGGACGCTATCTCACATTTCAGTTGTGATGACTGTGGACGGAGTGGCCACCAGGGCACCTGTGCTTTTTCCTGGAGGCCTCCTCTTTGGAAAAAAAAACCACTCTTCCGTGTCCACACACACCTTTGTCTGAAAAAGCATTTTTCAGGAAAAGGCTTCTTCCTCGTAGAAAGAGGTTTACCACTGTTGGAAAAACCCTCTGTTCTTTCAACTTTCTGTCGAAAGAATGCAATAGTGGTGTGGACATAAGCGTAGTTTTCCTGGAAAAACTTTGCAATATAGACATATCCCAAATGGCAAAGCTCTTTAGCTGCTTAAGAGCAGCAATCTGTATGAAAATGGGGCTAAAGAGCATCAAAAGAAACCAGTTTCCTTCAGCCCTGCTTCCCCTCCTGATTGTTCAGTATTTGGACTCAGCAGGGTTAGAGCAAACACAAATGTAGGACATTGAAAAGGCACCCCCAAACAGCAGGGCAGTGAATGTGGAAAAAGGAGGGACAATTAATGTATTCACTCATATAACATTTTCCACCTCAGTTTAGATGGATTTACATTTTATCTTAACGGTCAGATAAGAAAATCTGCAGTCTGCAACAAGGGACTGTCCCTCCTAGAAAGGGGAAAGTATTGCTTTGTGTTGTCTTATATTTTGCAGATTCTTTTAGTTAGGAGTTGAAAGTGTCAGTGACTGGAGCAGAGGCCAAGATTATCAGGAGTGACTAGGGATGTTGGCAGCCCCTACTCAAAAGCATCTGATGTTCAAAGGATGGGTGCTCAGCACTTTCTGAAAGTGTATCCAGTTGGCCCCCAAAATAGTGAGTCTCCAAAACTGCTAACAATTTCTGAGAATTGTGGCCAAAAGGACCTGCAATGGCCAGGCCACTTGGAAAGGGAAACTAAACCCGAGTCACTGCCCTCTCAGTGCGTCTGTTCACATTCACGGTTGTGTCCCACGGCTCACCTGGCGGGAGCTCTGCTTGCAGCTGGAATTTCTGCTTCCTGTAAAACCTTTCCAGAGGAGATGCTGTTCTGTGCTCACCTCCTTACAAGAAAGCACTGCACTTTCATTATTCCTGAAGTAACTTGTGTTTCCTCCAACTAAAACAATGCCCCGGTCATTGGTCCCACAAATGAGAGTGGTCGTGGAAGTGGAAATACTGCTGAAAGGTTGCTGGTTTGAAATGGCTGTTTTCTTTGTTTGCTTGTCTGGCCTCCTGGGATCCTAACAAAAAATGATCTCCCTCAGAGCTCAGTTCTGCCACTAACACAACCTTTTTCAACCTCTCCACAGCATCTGTTGAGCATTTTATCCAGACCTATAACCTCTGCCTAGCAGTGAAAGACCAGGACTGCAGCCACCATGAGATCCTGCATCCGGACAGGAGACATGGCCCACTACTGCAGAAAATGGAGACTTAAACCTTGTACCAAAACACAATTTTCAGCTGCTTCCACATATCGCATATAAAGGCCAACAAACAGTTCATCATCTTCCTGAATGGACATGACTAGACCACAGCCCCAAACCGTTGTATCTAGGTGTTACACTGGACCCTGCCTTTATTTTCAAGGAACACCTGACAAAGGTCTAATTGAAAATAAAGACAAAGAACAGTCAGATCAGCAAATTAGGTGATTGTACCAGGCGGAGTTAATGCACAGACATTGCCTCATGCTCAGTGACGTCTTCTGGTTTATGATGCCTCACACGGAGGCTGGGAAGGAGGAAGACCACACCAAGGAGTGGCCACACCAAGGGGTGGGGGGCTGCACTTAGGGCTGCAGGGGCAGGAAGAGGGCAAGGAGGCTTAAGCGTGGGAACTGGGGGGCGCTCTGCCTCCCAGACACATGCTCCAATTCCTGATCCCAGCAAGGTGGAATGGATGAGCGGTGACTGGGTGTAGCTGTGGGAGACACGGCACCGGAGCCAGCATCTTGCTGTCCCATCCCACAGTGGGAGCCCTAGCCATACACAGAATATGCAGCTGCCTATGGCACCACTAAATATGGCGTCTAAAATGAGTAGAGCCGTAGGCATCTGCATGTTCTGTGCATGCCTAGGGATGGCTCTGCTCATTCATGAAAGCAAGTGTGAGAATAGGTATCCAGACTGACCAAACTGATTTGGCTGCTGGTTCTGTCTGGCATTTCCTCCTGACATCCGGCAGCAAATCTCTTCTTAAGGTGCAAGACCTTTTACCAAAGAAGTTGTTAAGCACCTCTGCTATCTCCAAGAATAAGACAGAATATCTTATTACTAGGACTGTCAATTGATGTGCGCTAATGCCTGGGATTACTGCACGGCAGTATTAATGCGTTCATTTTTTAACACGTTAATCACAGGCGTTAATGCTGCACTAGCCCTTTGAAATGCTGCCAGCCTGTTTCAAAGGGGCAGAACATTTGGAGCCTGGGATCTGCTGGAGTTCCCAGCTGACCCTGGGCTCCATGCAGCGCTGCCCTTTGAAGTGCTGGAGTGGCACGTCCAAGGGCAGCACCAATGTGGAGCTGGGGATCAGATGGGGACTCCAGCTGATCCCAGGCTCCAAATGAAACTAGACAGGAACACACACAGCGCTCTCAGACTCCACTCCCATGTGGAGTGGACATGCTGTAGGAGAGCCTGGTTTGCAGCTCCACTTGCCACTCACCCCAGTACCCAAAATGAACAAACTCACTCACCATGAAGACTAGAAGTTAAAAGAAAATATTACCAGGGGCGGGATTAGGCAGAGGGAGCTCACAGCTCCGCGCAGAGCGCAGCTCAGCCAGCAGAGGTTAAAAAACACCCTTTCCCTGGCCCCAGCAAACCCCTTTCCATGGGCTGGTCAAGTGTCAGCAGCAGCAGCATGCTGACCCAAAGCAGAGCTCACCTGCGGTGCCCGGCATGGGGAGGTCAGGCAGGCTCCAAGGTGCAGTGCAGGAGCCGGCTGGAAGAAGTGAGTGCCACGGGCTGCTCCAGACCCTACCGTTCACTCATAGACTTTAAGGTCAGAAGGGACCATTATGATCATCTAGACTGACCCCCTGCACAGTGCAGGCCACAGAATCTCACCCACCTCTCCCAGAATAATCCTCTCACCTAGATCTCAGATATTGAAGCCTTCAAATACTTTGAAGACCCCAAGATGCAAAGAATCCTCCAGCTGTGATCTGTGCCCCATGCTACAGAGGAAGGCAAAAAAACCTCCAGGGCCTCTGCCAATCTACCCTGGAAGAAAATTCCTTCTCGACCCCAAATATGGCGATCAGCTAAACCCTGAGCATGTGGGCAAGACTCATCAGCCAGACACCCAGAAAGTTCTCTCTCTGCTGCACCCCAGAAAGTGGCAGGGGGCTTGCTGCCTCCTGGCAAGTGGCCACAACAAGCCGCTTCCTGCCATCAGGGCACACGCTCGCCAGCTGTGGCTGCAGCTAGGTGTGCCTCCAGACTCGCACCGGGCTCACCTGGGAGAACCGCAGCTCCCCAGGTGGAAAGGTGCCGTGAGATTAATCAGGATTTTAATTGCTTGACAGCCCTACTTATTAGCTCTATATAAATCCATGGTGTGCCCACATCTTGAATACTACATGCAGCTGTGGCCACCTCATCTCAAAAAAGTTGGCATTGGATAAAATTGATTAGGGGTTTGGAATGACTGCCAGATGAAGAGAGATTAAAAAGACTGGGACTTTTCAACTTAGAAAAGAAGAGACTAAGGGGGGGGGGGAGAATATGAGAGCAGTCTATAAAATCATCACTGGTTTGGAGAAAGTGAATAAGGAAAAGTTATTTACTTGTTCCCATAACACAAGAAATAGAGGTCAAATGAAATTATAGGTAACCAGTTTAAAAACAAACGAAAAAAAAGGAAGTATTTCTTCATGCAGTACACAGTCACATCTGTGGAACTCCTTGCCAGAGCATATTGTGAAGAACAGGACTTTAACTAGATACATTCCTGAAGGATAGGTCCATCACTGGCTATTAGCCGGGATGGGTAGGAATGGTGTCCCTAGTCTGTTTGTCAAAAGCTGGGAATGGGTGACAAGGGAGGGATCACTTGATGATTTCTTGTTCTCTGTTCATTCTCTCTGGGGCACTTGGCATTGTCCACTGTCAATAGACAGGATACTGGACTAGGTGAACCTTTGGTCTGACCCAATATGGTTGCTCTTATATTCCCCAAAGGTGCAGCTTGTCTCTGTCACAAAACTGACTGTAGGGGATGGGGAACCTCAGTACTCAGGATTAATGCAAGAAAGCTGGCAAAACTGCAAGGGCCTTTTCTTCCCTAAACACATAAACCCCGTTCCCTGTACACATGGCATGTGTTTCCCGCCCTAGAACACTGACATTCTGTACTCCATTCATGTGGCAGCTCCAGGGGCAGTGAGGAGGTAGGCAGATCACAACCACTGCCTCTGCTGGGTAGCCTCCATCACTGAGGATTTTAGCCCTTCATGGAAAACTATTGGGCTACGTCTACACTGGCCCCTTCTTCGGAAGGGGCATGCTATTTTGAACTTGGGAATAGGGAAATCCGCGGGGGATTTAAATAAACATGGCCGCCACTTTTTTTCCGGCTTGGGGAAAAGCCGGAAAAAAGCGTCTAGACTGGCGCGATCCTCCGGAATAAAGCCCTTTTCCGGAGGATCTCTTATTCCTACTTTGAAGGATTCCTACTTTGAAGTAGGAATAAGAGATCCTCCGGAAAAGGGCTTTATTCCGGAGGATCGCGCCAGTCTAGACGCTTTTTTCCGGCTTTTCCCCAAGCCGGAAAAAAAGCGGCGGCCATGTTTATTTAAATATCCCCTGCGGATTTCCCTATTCCCAAGTTCAAAATTAGCATGCCCCTTCTGAAGAAGGGGCCAGTGTAGACGTAGCCTTGCTGTAGCTTCCTACCCATTACATCCAGTCCTAGGAACTTGGAAGGCTTGTGGGAAGCATTAAGCTCTTTTAGGATTAGCAGTAAACACGTAAAGATAATGATCTGTTCATTACTAATTCCCAAGCTATTTAAGGTGGTAAAAATTAAAGCAAATT